AGGACTTGGACAGCTGATGCATTTTCTCCCTCTTCCTCTCTCTCAGATTGTCTCTCTGCCTCGTTCCCACTCGCCGCTTCTCTCTCTGCCAGCTCCCGCCGCCACGCTGTCGGATTCACGCCGCACACTGAAATACTGTTAAATTAGCTAAGTATACAGTGAAATGTCTCCTCTGGAAGACTTCTGTTTGTATATCCCGTGACCTCGGCACACCTTTTTATATTGCAATCAGTGGAATTAGCCTAGAGCTAAAGGCACTCTGAAGCTTTTTTTTTAAAACCATGACCTACTGGGGCTCGTAGCCGTGAGGTAGCAAACATTTTACACTGCTGTCTTTTGAAGTGGGTATGAAAGGACCTAAATTTAACTTGTGTAAGAGCTCAGTCTTTCATGAAAACATACTCAAACTCTCCTAACTGTGTTTTCCACTTATTTGTTTCTGCTCAATTTTTGGACGGAAAACTTGTTTTTTGTTTTTTTTCAGTCTGACTGTTTGACCTGAAAAACACAAGTTCCACCTACATGTGCCCACCAGCACCAACCACAGTAATCACTGTCTGAGAGCTAACCACCACCCACTTCCACCTTGAGGAATCAAGAGAGAGATGAGAAGTGAGGTGTTGCCGCCACTGGAAGCCAGAGACTCCTGGTGTCGGTATCGAGGGCCTCGCGCTGAGATCCGCTTCTGCACGTGTTGTATTTTTATAGCCTGAAGTCGGGTTTGGATCGGCTGTACTTTCATAACTTGAAACACTCAAAGGTAACTACATTCATTACAACTTGGGTTTTTATTTTCAGTTTTCGAAACATGAGCAGTCAAATTAAGTTGTACAGTGAGTTGGCTGAGTCTCAGTTTAGTCAAATTTATTTCAAAGAGAAGAAGAAAAAAAAAAAAAAAAAAGGCTACTGGCGAAATAATTATCCAAACATGCACCACAGCTTGCGTCCCGACCCCCTGGTTCAATTTTGACTGACTGTACTTGTAGTACCAATAAAACCGATGGCAGGAGCTTCTAAAATAAAACTGCAGTGCTTATAAATCATAGTTAATGTGTAACTGCCAATGGGATTTTTTTTAAAAGCCGCATTAATTGATTCTTTGGCCACTTGAGGGCAGCACAACAAACTGTAAACACATCACCGGTAATTTATCACCTTGTAAAGTTGCTGTGGCGCACGTCGACCGTTTCCTGTTGGCACATCCAGGAGGAGCAGAGGGTCGAGTGTTTGGCCACCTGACTACCCATTTATCCATAACATCATGTCTCGCCTCTCCTCTCTATAACAGCAGGCCTGTGGCGCTATCAGTTAGTCTGTTTCAAGCATGAACCAGCTTTAAGTCACAGGATGAAGGTTTCAAAATAAAGTCCCGGGTAAGGGGAGTAATCTGATTACTGAGCTGCTGCATGTGCACATGGATTGTATAGTAACCCGGATGTTACAGTGCATATTAACATGCACTTCCTGCATACCCTGAGTAGCCTGGTTTCTCATGTGTGCTTGCAAACCCTGCTGAATCTAACTCTTTTCAGATGCATTTAAGAAAACAAAAAGGATTAATATTAACAAGCGTCTCGCGTTTTGTTCGGCGACGTCTTCAAAGCAAATTTTCCACACAGTCAAACAGCACGGCGTCATAAGTTCAGCTGTTTGAAGTCGCAGGAGAGAAGCGTTCGCTGCTGCTGAGACAATGTGTTTACTAACGGACCTCAACTTGATTACAATTCAAAGAGGCAGTCCCACAATGCTTATTCACTGTGGAAATATGACCCAAATTTTTGTCAGGGAAGCTGTGCTTTGAAGTTTATAAATTAGACTGGGGGAACTTTTATTCTTCCTTTTAGAAGAAGGCAGCTTATCAAACACTTTTTTTCTTTATTTGATTTTTTAATATTAAAGCTTTTAAAGACTCAATCAGCCACATATCTGGCCTTGTCATGAAGCAACTTTTAGACACAGACTTAAAAGAAGGTCATTCAGAGTGAACACAGCAGCATATTTCAGAAAGAGAGCATGTTGTAAAGAATTACGGCTCTTGAGAATGACATCATTCAAGATTCCTGAGCCATCACACCGTGGCAGCGTAAACCGTGGAGCATCTGGGCGTTGGGTGCATGAGTGCATGAGGCCGATTGGAGCGTCGGTCTGTGAAGGAGAGCGCTCTGGTTAACCTGCTGCAAACCAGCATCACAGAGAGATCCAGGGTTTATGTGGTGAACAAGAGAACTAAATTTTCTGTTTTGTTTCAGTAGATTATCTCATGTTTTAGTCATGAACGTTGAATAAACTGATCTGAACATGTGACCAGGTTGATTTAATTTCATGTGTTTTGCACAATGTTTAAAACAAATAACCGGCTCATTCACAAAATCGTCAAGATACAGTTCAAACTGTTGAGGATAAAAACATAGGAGGCGAGGTAAAGGATATTTATATAGCACATTGTCATACACAGATTCAATGTGCTTGAGGGGAATAAAAGAAATATGAAAAATAGCAGTAAAAGGCATAATAAGAAAACAGTATAAAAACAGATTATAAAGTAAAGATAAACAAATGCTAATGAAATGTCAAAAGTCTATAAGTCTATAAAGACAAGCTGGAAAATATGAACTTTAGTAAATTAACTCAGTACTGTACTCAAGCACCATCTGAAGTACTTGTGCTTTACGTAGCTATTTCCAGTTATACTAATTATTGTTACTTTAACTCCAGTCGGCCTAGATCTATTTACAAAGCATGTATATCAGCTTGTATATGATATATTGTTATAGTAAAACACTGACACATTATACATCATTAATAATAGCTGAATTACATAATATATAACAGTGTTTCCCAACTTGTGGGGTGTGGCCCGATGGTGGCCCGCGAAGGTATTGCAAGTGGGCCGACAAATCATTTGCAAAACAGTACAGTCTCAGTCACTTCAGAGAACCCAGAGCACTTCAGTGGTGTATAAAGTGTATTTGTGCTCATGGTTCTCTCGCTCACACTCAAGCCTTTATGTGTTGATGCATAATAACAGCAGGGATGTTAATTTACAGTTTTCTCAAATTTTAATGGAATCTCAAAAATGTTTGACCCATTTTAGGTAGTAGTTTGAATTTTTACTTTAATATTACAATAAACCTGCACTGATACAACCCTGAGATTCATACACCCACTCCACCACAAACACATGATGTCACACACCAGCACAAACCTCTATACACACCAAAACTATTGTGATTATTACCTGAATACATTCATTTTTCTTCAGTTAGCTGAAGAAAAGAGCAGCTTTATAAATGTTGCATTGATGTGCTGGAAGCAGATGCTTAATTAGTCCTGTCCACGCTGGGTCCAAGGCCCTTACAGAGGGGAATTTTACAGCAGCTCTCCTTTTTGCTTTTTTTTTTTACAAATGATCTAATATTCAAATGGGTCAGACCAGGACATTTCTCTGATCCATGTTCTCCATTCCCAGGGAAGATGTATCCCACCCACACACTTCTTTGAAACCGGCTGAAACCCCATCCATAACATACTTTAATCTCATAATTTTCCTTTACCTTGAGTGGTCATTTAAATCAGAGCTTGAAGGCAGATATTATATGGAAGGAGAATCATATAATATATCCTAAAGTTTGAACAAATTTACTTAGAACTTTTCTCCTGATTCTAAAACGTAGCTCGAGGCTACTGATTAGTTTCTTCTTTACTCTCAGAGCAAAGTGTGTATTTCATCAAACTGGCAGACCAGGCTATAGCTTCACTGTATACTGATATGGAAGCTGGTTATGGAGAGGTTATTTCAAGAAGTTCTTCATCACAGCCGGCTAAGAGAGCATACATGGCTGTGAGACATAGTTCACTTTTGCCCGACACAGAGAGACAGTTTTCTCATTGAGATTGTGCTTTTTTAAAAATTAACTTGCAATTAATTACATATAGGCCTGCAGTGAATATGCATATGACATATAATTACAGTATTTCACTCCTACCAGGACTCTGCTGGCATGATGGAGTGCTTCATACAACACAGCACCATCTGTTAACATCCCTGGAAGGAATTTAATGTCTTGTAGTCTACTGCTCCCTAGAGTTTACAGATTTGCACTGCAGCTTGTGTTTGTTCCATTTACCTTTGATATCGTGTTTCACTAAAGAGCAACAGCAGGATGGACAGTTTATGACAATTTACCAATAACAAACGAAATATATGTAGATATATTGATTTTCATATATGAAATACATATATAGACTATAAGAAATGAAACATGTTAATATATTGACATAAATGTCGAGCCAATACAAATATGTATGTTTATGTATGTATGCTTATATTGTAGACATATGTTACGTAAACATATATCCATCCTAAAGTCTGAGATCACATTCACAGCATGGGAAAATAGACACGTTTAAAATTACTAGGAGATTTATAAGAAAATATAAAATATAAATATAAAAATATGTACATATATTAATATATGTACATATACAAATTTTACTATATCGTATTTCATATATGTTATAAATTCTATCCAGAGGATGTATATATGTGATAATAATATTTCCCCTTATAGGTGATAGCACTCCTGATATAGGGACGTATAGGTTATGTCATATATTACATTTCTGTATGGGAAAGATTTCCAGCTGCAAAATAATAATATCAATTTAAGAATCATATCTAAACATTTTCTTTATATCTATTTATTTATTTATTTTGGTTCTTAGCTCTGATTGGTTCAACACTTGTTGCCTTCTTCAGTCAGGTTTAAAAAAAAATCTTTCATCAGACTTATAGGCTAGGTTTTATTAATTGCCCATACCTACTATTAATTCCCTTATTCTTCAGACAATGTGTGCACTCCTTTGGCCTCACTGATATAGTATTTCTTTATTTATAGATATAGGTATAGGTCTGATTAAGCCAGTGCGCGAAAACGGTGGGAGGAGATTTGGTACTTGTGGCTCACCGTCCTACGTCACTGTATGTTGACGTGTGGCTAAGTAGGGAGCTGCGGTCTTGCCAGTCAGCTAGCGCTAGCTAACACTTCTCCACAGTGAATAGTTAACGAAAGCGTTGACAGCTGACTTGTTTGTACTAAACTTTTGATAATGGCAGCTGACTGGGAGGAAATTCGTCGGCTTGCCGCGGACTTCCAGAGAGCACAGTTTGCTGACACAGTGCAACGGTGGGTGCAACCCGACGCTACATGCAGCTGCTAGCAGCGAAGCTAATGTTGGCTAACATTAAACAGTTCTTTTAAAAGTAACTCCTACCCCTTCAGTTGTGAATTGTCTCCTTTCTGTCAACAGCTGTGGTTAATGACAACAAGAAAAAAAACACAACATATGTCTATAACTGGCAGGTCAACGCCTCACATGACACTTAAAACTGTGAACCTCTCCACAGGCTGTCGGAGAGGAACTGTATTGAAATCATTGCAAAACTGGTTCAGGAGAAGAAGCTGGATGTGGTGCACACACTCGATGGGAAGGAGTATATCACCCCGGCACAGATCAGCAGGGAGATCCGAGATGAACTCTACGTCCATGGAGGTCAGTGTCACAGTCAGACATATACCTGCTGTTGTAATAACTAGTCACTGTTGTCAGTCTGGGTCGTACTCACCATGAATGATGATGAATAGTGTAACCTGGAGGATGGACAGCTATGAAGCAGTGAATCAATCCTGTCATTTTATTTCACAGGCCGAATCAACATCGTGGACCTCCAGCAGGTGTGTATTATCAAGTTTAAAACGCTGCTTTGTCTCTCACCATATGTCAGTAGCAAACTGTGATCCAGACTTCATGTTATCAATAGTCCATTATCAATAAAACACCTTTTATAAATGTTGTTATGGATCTCTTCTTTACAGATTATCAATGTGGACTGGGTCCATGTTGAAAATAGAGCAGGCGACATTGCAAAGTCTGATAAGGGGGTTCAACTTGTACTGGGACAACTTATTGATGAGTGAGTATGACACTTTTACCATGCAAATGTTGGGTCCAGGCTGCCCCAATATAATCTGTGTAATGACACTGACGATGATCTTGCTATTAAGAGACATATGGTCTGTTTGTTCAATTAATTAACAAAAAATCACTAGAAGTATCCATTAAAGAATAAAGTTAACCAAAGACTTTAAATGCACAGATACACAGACGTGTAGATGCACAGAAGTATTTTCACCCTTTAGATATTCATGTTTAATTTATACACATGCAAACCTCACCTCACACAATAAACTGAATTCATTAGGAAAATTTAATGTCCAGCCTAGTGGCCGTCAGATCTGTTGTGACATAAAAAGACATGAACGTAATAAACTCATGGTTTGAGACATTAACGCAGTAATTTCAGTCAGAAAATATATATATTTTATAACAACAAATATTCATTGTAGTTCATAGTTAAGGCGCCAATATATTGTAAAGTTAATATTTAAGTAATTCATCTGTATACAGCTGAAGAGGTGATCAGTAATTGTCATCAGCTATTAACATACTACACCGGAGAAGCCTGCCTCTGTGGGTTTCATCATAGACTGCTCGGAGAATATCAGAACCATAAATCAACTTAAATTGAACAGAACTCTTAGAGGATGAAAAGTCAATTTTTGACATTTTACAAAGACATCCACTGTCATGGACAAGCACGACAGACGACTGAAGACACGAGTTGACGTAGAAAAAAAATGATTGCAGCCTTATTTCCTGCATGATAGAAGAGCAGAAAGACACTCAAAATTTCTAATGAGGAGGGAAAGGTCTTGTCTGAAAGGGTTAGCCCTTTGCTAGGAAACTGTCCAGCTGAATATAAACTGAGGTGGGAATACCTTGTGTTGTCTGCAGCACGTACCTGGACCGTTTAGCTGAGGAGGTGAATGACAAACTGCAGGAGGCTGGTCTGATCAGTATTGCAGAACTGTGCAAGAGCTACGACCTCCCAGGAGATTTCTTAACTGAGGTGAGACACACTGCATCCAGTCCTTACCTGCATGTGTTTATTAACATTTTCTATATCTGATGTTTGCTTTCTAATGTCACTCAGGAGCTGTCGAAGCGTCTCGGGAAGCTTATCCAAGGAGAGATGGACCAGTACAACAGGGGAGTCATATTCACCCCAGCTTTCGTTGCTCGACACAAAGCCAGAATACGAGGGCTTTTCAGCGCCATAACGAGGTAAACATTATATTTCCTACAACTGCACTCATTCAAGAACCACATATAAACAAATTAGTGGAATGTTTAAGTGATATAAGTCAACTTGTCTCAGTCGCCAATTTTTCATGTAAACAAAGTTAACAATTGATTGATTTATTTATAAAGCACATTTAAAACACCAGTGTTGACTAAAGTGCTGTATAATAATATACAACAGAAAACGCTATCTCATGGTCTGAGACAGACATGGAACAGTTTGAAATAAAAACACAGGATGAACGTGAAGCCGCCTTAAATAAAAATGTAGGGATGTCGATTCTGTTCATGACCGAATCTTTCAAATGTGCAGTTACTCGTGAGTAAGTCGTATCCATCAAGTTGAAACAAGTGATTTACAGCAGGTTTGTGCATCTGAACATACAAAAATGTTTGTGCACGAGATCCACTGTCTTTCTTAATTGTTTTGTTTAGTGTTTCATATTAAATGAAATCCTGTTTATGTTTTGTTTGTTTTTTTTTTTTGCTCCGCAGACCGACACCCGTCAGCAGCATGATTGGAGCGTTTGGATTTCAAGAACATCTCCTGTACTGTGAGGAGAGACTTCTCTGATGTTTGATCGTTGTTTCATTTGACTGGCTGTTCCACAGTGTGTTTTTTTATAATCGGATTTGGTTTTGTCGTCGCCAGCTGTGTTGGAGGAGTTGGTGAATACCGGACGGCTGAAAGGAAGCGTGGTCGGAGGGCGACAGGACAAAGCTGTGTACATCCCCGATATCTACTCCAAAACACAGAACACCTGGGTGGACTCTTTCCTCCAGCAGAACGGATATTTAGGTAGGTTTTATTATTTTATATTATTATATTAATGTTCATAAAAAAAGATAATGAAAACAATTCATGAACAGATACAATTTAAATAACAAACAATACAATAACAAACGGAAAATAATGTCAGCGGAGAGCCGGAGGAGGTTTCTCCAGGAGCATATTTAAAGCTCTGATTTATTTTCCTTTGAATAAAATGGACTTTAATGTGTCTGTGGGGAAACAAACAATAATCACAATATACAATCCAGAGACATGAAGCAATACAGAAGACATTTAGTGCCACACAACCCTACATGCATATTGCACACGTCCTGGGACAGCTGCATCTCACGTTGCTGTTGTTTTACTCCTGAGGTATCAGATGAGTGTAATACACACATCACAGTGTTTCTTTCACAGTAGCAGTGTGAAGTGTCTGCAGTGGTGTGTGTGTGTGTGTGTGATTGACGCCGTCTTCCTCCTGCAGAGTTCGATGCGTTGGTCCGACTGGGGATCCCCGACCCCTCCAGCTACATCAAGAAACGCTTCAAGTCCAACAAGCTGCTGTTCCTCAGAGCGGCCTGTGTGGGTCAGGCTCTGGTCGACCAGGTGGAGGCCTCTGTGGAGGAAGCCGTCAAATCCGCCACGTGGACCGACATACAGGTGCTCAACGCGAACACTGGAGTTAACTGTTATTACGTTAACGACTATTTCAGTTTCTCACCTACTTTCTCGTTCTCGTTCGGACTCGTAGCCGATTCTGCCCAGCTGCCTGTCGATGGAGGACGTGGGGATGTTGATCAACCAGGCCATGAGGAACACTGACGTCCAGTCGTCTGCCAGAGTGCTGGGAGGCACCGTCGTCGTCAGCGAGAAATTCATCAGCAACTGCCTGTCGTTATTCGATGAGGCCATGCAGCAGAAAGCTCAGAAGGTCTTCAGCTGTCTCCATTAAAAAAAATAAAATAAAATCTTTGAATGTACATAATTGAAAAAACACAGCATCTAAGCTTTTCTGTGATGTTTTTTTTTTCTTAGGAAGTGAAGAACAATCCAGTGTTTCTGATAACTGAGGACGATTTGAAGCAAGCGTCCATGCTGACGGAGAGCTCGGCACTTTCCAAAAAGGAAAAGAGAGAAGCTGAGCGCAGGAAGAAGGCCACAGGTTAGTTAAAACACCCCCTCCCACACACACACACACACACACACACACACACTCTCATCCTGAAGAGACAGAACCTGCATGACATTTATCTGGGATTACATATCGAGCTCTCTCTCTCTCTCTCTCTCTCTCTCTCTCTCTCTCTCTCTCTCTCTCTCAGAGGGCAGCGTGAAGGCGGGTGGAGGAGGAAACGCCAGAGAGATCCGGATTCGTAAAACCAAGAAGAAAGGCCGGAGAGACGAGGACAGCGACGAGGAAACCGGACCTTCACAGCAAAGTACGCCGAGGGGCCCACAAAGCTTGTTTTACCTTCACGGGGACATGATGTCTCTATGTGCACATTAAGCCTGTTCACTGAGGCGTTTCACTGTAACAAGAGCGTAATGGCTGCTTGGCCAGAAATCTCTCCCCTGGGTTGTTAAGCTTTTTTTTTTTTTTTTTTTTTTTTTTGTTATCATGGAAGACAAAGTTAAATGCAGTATCCCTGTGAGACTAATTAGCTTGTATATCACCTTTGCCAAGATCGTAGCAAACAGACTGAAGCCCCCTTCATGGCCCAGGAGGAGATCGTAGCTGTTTTGGAGGAGAGAGTGAGTGACTGCCCCGAAGAAATCCTCTCTGAGCTGGCAGAGCATTTAGTCAGGTAACACGCAGGTTTCTGTCTGAAGCTCGTTTTCTCCTCCGTTAGAAGTGAAAACTGAGAACAGTAAGTCCACTCTCTGAATGTCTCTGCAGGCCTCTGACCAAAGCCTACCAGGAGGTGCTGCGGACGGTGTTCATGTCCTCCAGCAGCTCTCCGTCGGGGGCCAACAGGAAGAAGAGCATGAAGGATCTGCAGGAGGAGATCACCAACCTCTACAACAACATCCGCCTCTTTGAGAAAGGCACCAAGTTCTTCTCTGGTAAATCCCTCGATCAGCACCTTTTTAACGTGAAGAATGTAAAGAGAACAAAGGCGCGGCCCTTCGTAGAGAGTGAAGTCCGAACCGAAATGATAGAATCTGGTCTACGAAGGATCCTGCTGCTTTGAGGCCTTTGGTTTAAACATTTGTCCCATTAGTAAATGAAACCTAATACTTACATTTACTGTAATCCTCGGGCTCTCTGTCCGCGTTGGTTGCTGCCATATTATTTTCATTACCAGCACGCAATGAATCTTGGGATTGGGATGTTTTCACACCTAAAATAAGTGTTTGTTGCGTTGCCATTCCCTTTCTCTCTCCCCGCATTTCCTGTCTGTCTCGACTGTCAGTCTGCCAGTAAGAGAGCGATGCAGAGAGAGACAGAGAGAGAGAGAGAGAGAGAGAGAGAAGAGAGAGAGGATGACATGCAGCAAAGAGCCACGAGCTGGACTCAAACCCGGGTCACTGTGTTAGGGGCAAAGCCAAAAGGTCAGCCACCGGGGCGCCGCACAGATGGTTAACCTAACAAGACATATTGTGTTCACGCAGATGAGACCCAGGTCCACATTGCCAAGCACATCCTGAAGACTTTGTGCACCGACGTCACTAACATCCTGGTGAACTTCCTGGCTGCGGACCTGATGATGTCTGTGGAGAACCCCAGCTCCATCACCAACGAGGTCAGGCGACGCTCGTGGTGCTTCCCTTTTCCCACGTCCTCTGTGTTTAGAAACGAAGGGAGAGATAATCAGCCAAAGCGCCTGAGATCAGACTCAGATGGAGTTAGAGTTAATTAAGACTGTGTGTCATTGTTTGAAATGCACCGCGGGACTCGTTAGTTTGGAAACGTGAATGTCTCTGATGTGTTGCCTCAGGTCAGAGTGAAGATTTTGGGGAAACTCTCAGAGGAAACCAGAGGGCCGCTCATGAAGCTGCACAACTGCCTCAACGGCAAAGTGAGTGTGTTTCCTGTCGGTTACATCATCAGACGGCGGCGTTAGTGCGAGGGATAGAGAGTAACTTCTTCACCTTGTGTTCATCACAGACCATTGAAGACTTTCTGACCAACATAGAGACCTGCGCTGAGGTGTGTGGGTTCATGCTGAAGAAAGGAGACAAGAAGAAGGAGAGGTAGAGGGAACTTTAATTCGTCGTTATGGTTTTTGACTTTTTTGACTTTCAGTTTGCAGCGACGGAGTTGTGAGTGTATGTGTTTGTGTGTTGTGTGTGTTGTGCGCAGGCAGGCCCTGTTCCTGCACCGTCAGGCTCTCGCTGAGCAGCTCAAGGACACGGAGGACCCGGCTCTGGTTCTCCACCTGACCAGCGTGCTGCTGTTCCAGGCCAGCACCCACTGCATGCTGCACGCCCCGGGCCGCTGCGTGCCTCAGATCATCGGCACGCTCACCGGCAAAATACCAACAGTACGTCTGACACTCACTGACTAAGACTCTGTATGTAACCTGTAATATCACTATGATGTTGTACGATGCTGGATTTAATGTTAAACGTGGCACATTCAAAATGAACATTATGAAAAGAATCAGTGCACTTAAAAGACACGTTTATTTTTAAATAACAGACAAACTCAATGTTACAATAATAAGATAATCTCTATATAATCTACATATAATCTATAATAACATAATTGATATGTCTTGTTTCTTTAAAAAAAACTATATGATGTTGATGCTGAGTCACCTCAGGGATGTGAAGTGAGGGTCCAGTGGCCCCTTCGCTTACTTCCCACCCCGCTACTTCCAGCGCCGTTGCTCGGACCACACCCACTTTCAAACTCGTGCTTCATTTTGATCTCAGCTACACACCTGTAAAGGTTCAGAGCTGTATCTTGCAGTAGTTGTGATGCTAAAGTGCTGACAAAAAAAAAATCTGTCCACAGACAAACAGACGTATAAACACCCGCCAAAATACTCAATTTTTAAATTAAAGCTGACGCTTGGCACTTCAGTGATATTTTTTATTTTACATTGTTTTTATTTGAAATTGAATGTGCTGAAGCTGAGAGCCTGAAGAACAACAACTGTCCCCAAATACTTCTGGTCTGTGTTATTGGTCCAAGTTCAGCTGGAGCTCATATGGGGCCAAATCTTTAGCCTGGATGTCAGACGTCGTTTTACTACCTGAGGTTTTTCCCAGCAACAAACTTACATCCAGTGACCAGGACATATCCCTCTGCTGCAGCTCAGCATGGAAACATGAGGGAGGAAAAGAACAGATGAAGCTTCATGTTGGCTTCGGCTGATGTTTAATTGTAACCTAGACACAGTACATCTTTATTTCAGTCATAATAACAGTGCTTTCTATTTTTTCTGGCCCCCCTTCAGAAGCCGAAAAAAGTTCTCACCCTCCACCCGACAGTTTTTAACAGTGACGGGAAGCAACTGATAAAAAAGGATCCGTGTTTAATTTTCATGTAATGAAGGTCGGAACGATCAGCATCAGCAAAGCTTTGTTTGTTTTCCCTACATGAATCATCATCATAATCATTCAGCTTATTTTCCCTCCATATTTTTCCTCTGGTCATCCCCTCAGGAGGGCGGACCCCCCAGTTTGAGAACCGCTGGATAACAGACACGTTTATTTGTGCTTCACTGTGGTCTAAATGCGTCAGCGTCACCACGTCATCTTCTGATTGTGTACATGCAGTTTTCAGACACAGCAGCTGTCGGTAATCTCCATCTGCTGCAGTGTCGGTGTAACAGAGCGTTTGTTTGGCGAGTTAAACTGCTGAAATGTTTGCCTGCGTCCATGTGTGTCGTTGCAGGAGCAGCAGCAGCAGCTGTCTGCCTACCAGAGCCTGGTGGTGAAGCAGCTGGTGAGCCAGAGTCAGAGCAGGAAGCAGGAGGAGGCTGAGGGCGAGGCAGACAAGGCGGAGGAGCAGGACGAGGAGGCCAGGAGCGTCCGCTCACAGCTGATGGCCCTGACTCCCCAGGTGAAGGAGCTGGTGTTGTCTCAGAAGAAGACATCTGTCAATGAGGACTGAACATTTCGAAGATTAGAGAAGTGAAAGTTGGAACTCATCTATGATGAACCTTCTTTTCATGTTTGGATAAATACTTTAAAGACTGCTACATCAGCTGTTAATACTGTATTTTTGTGATTTATCCATGTAAACATAATTCTAAATTATAAAAGTAAATTCCTTTGTGGGATGTCTCACTGTAAACCCAGATAACATGAACATCCTCAATGAGGCTCTGATTTAATGCATTAAAACTCATTTCTTTCCCGCATGTGGTTCCTCGCGTTATTTATTGCCTGTTGTTGTCTGACAGTGTCGACTCATGTCTCTGTAGCAGCTTCTGCAGATAAGTGACTAACAGGACCTTGAGTTTGTTTTATCAAAGGCTTAGAAAAGTATGAAAATGAATTTGATAATTTCTACTTCTCAAGGAGAAGCTAATATGTATTTGATGTTGGGATTGTACCATGATTTGGGAACTGCGGTCACAGTTTGTGGTCACTGTTCGTCTCCCTGCTGCAACTCATGGAGCTTCATGTACTGTAACACTTGAAGGTTTGACTGAAAGTTTGCCTTGAACTTCTATGTGCAGTTTCTCCATTGTAACACTGGGGGGCGACAGCAGCCAACTAAAATATCACGGCAGCCCCCTGACTGATGCTGATCCAGTGTTAGGAGACCAGAGAGAGATGCTCTGCCTGACATTTGTCTACATATGAACTCCAAATTTAGATTCTGCCACAATTATAGTAACAACATTAAAGATACATACACTACGTGGACACCCTGACATTACAATCATATAACAGCCTCTACTCAATCTTTCTCAATCTCTGATTCTGGTGGATTCAGACTTTCTTCCGGACCTTGTAGCCGTGCTGGAAGATTTGCCGACATTTCCGATTCCAGTTCATCCCAAAGCTGTTGGATAGTGTTGAGGTCGGGGCTCTTAGTACAATAAGTGGTGTTCGTTTGTGAAGATTATCTTGCTGAACAAAACATGTAAACATCATGAATTTACTGAGTTTATTTTCTGCAATAGTCTAAAAGTCAGTGGAAAAATCCCATTGGCTTTGAGGGTGATGCTAACTTCCAGGTTGGCCGACAATAGTGTGTCATCCCTGCAGCCCTCTATGGCTCAAATCACTACATGTAATGTGAAAAGGGGTTTGCTCGTGGTGACCAAATTATTCCCCCTACTCAGCAGGTTTACCTCAGTTCTGAGCTTTGTCCCACAAATTTACAGTTTTGGTTCAGTCACACTTCTTCCAGCAGCAGCAGGTAGTTGTTTTTGGCGGAAACAGGTGCTGGATAGATGCCGTACGATGGCTTCATCAAATCAGCACATAGACAAAGTAATGACTGGTTGTATGTAGTGGAGCATTTAGCAGCTAAAGAACCAGATTCTTCTCAGAAGTTGGAGACAAATAGAGCTGAAAGGAGTGACTGGTTGACTTGCGTTCATGACCTTGACAGAAAAACAATTAGCCTAATAAATGCTAATGTTGCATATACACTAAATATCTGATGTTAGCAGCTAACATTAGCCACCATGAGGTTGTAGTCATACCAGACCAGGTAAGGCTATTGCAGCCAAGGACTTGGGTGTACTGAATTGAACAATATATGATAGATTCAACTTTTCATTTCAGCTTTCAGAGTGAACTTATGAATATACACAATTTGGAAAAGGGAGTATTACCTTTCGTTGCCTTACATTGACCAGGCTTTCTACCTCCTTCCTGGTGTATTAAAGGTCCCATATAGTATAAAGGTAGACCTGATGGAGGAAGTAAAACTACATGGGGATGGTTTTTGGTGTTTAAAACCATAAATATATCTTCTTATGGATCAACACTTCAAAACCTTTACTGTTTTCCAAGTCAACGATACACTGCGGTACAGTATGTTTTATACACTGAGCTGTTTGTTCCCTTAAGAGATTTTCAGATCAAATTTTTCTGCAGCAAAGCTTCTAAACATGGACTCCTACAACCAGGAGTAAGAGCCCAGTTTAAACATCATAGGACTCCTGAGGTATTGGGCGTCAGGACGATCAATACCCTCACTAAATATAAAATTTGAGCTGCTGACTTTTCTCACGTTTTGAACACAAAGTTCTCCTTCAGGTAGCACATCCTGTGACATGTGACTGCAGCATGTGCCGTGTGGAGGCAGACACACTGTCTGCATCCTGGGAGAGGAGAGAGAGGCTGGCTGAGGAGGATGTGCACGCGTGAGGTCATCATACACACAAGCACATGCTCCACATCGCCATGGAAACAGGCATCTCCTCACAGAGGCCAGATTTTCTTTTTTGCTTTCTGTTTTCCGCCGAGGCCTCCAGGTTTGGCAAGTGAGAGATGTCAAAAGAGGAATTTCATTCTAAAATGAGAGATTGAAAAACAGAGCCTCCTACTCTCTGAATATGATTCATACCTATAGAAAATACTGATGCAAAATTAACCACACTAATCCCCTCAATATAGACTCATGGATAACACACACCTCGCTTTTTTGTCTCCAAAATAACACATATAATGCATGCAGTGGTGATAAAGTATTATAATTCTCACTTAAGATAATATTTAGATTTAAAAAAAACACTTCAGATAATATCAATAAATGACTATAGTGGTATTCCAAAATAGGCATTAGTGTTTGCTTACACTGGCTATACAAGGGGAACTTGGATGAATTGGACAAGGATCAAGTTTGTACTCACATGCACTGATGTTTAATCTTACGTAGATCCAGTTGGCAGTTTATTAGGAACCCTTACTGTAGCTGATATTAATAGAGTCTGACACAAGCAGTCCTGCAGTCTGCAATCCTCCTTGCAGCTTGAACTATACTGCATTACACAGAGAGATGTGTCAGTTATTGATTTGAATGGGGGGAGGGGGGGGCACTCAACATAAAGCAATGCAGTTCGACTGCACCACAAATCTTAGCAAGGTGTTCCTAATAAAGTGACAACTGAGAGTTTAGGCCTGTGACCCGGTGGTGTTCTTGTTTCCTGACACCACTACCTGCTCCTGATGATGGTTTTAAGGGAATACCAAAATCATCATCTGTCTTGTAAATAAAATGTAATTACATTATGTAAGTAATATGTCATATATGTTATAATAATAAACAATAAATAATAACAACACTGAAAGAAATGACTTTTTTCAGAGTGTGTCTTCATTACTGTGATTCACAGCATCAACTGTAGCTGCAATTATTATTATTATTATTTCCTGAATTGATTGATTAATTGTTTGGTCTACCGTGTTAAAAATCCGAAAATAGTGAAAAATGTCCATCACAGTTTCTCAGAGTCAGACATAACTTCTTCACGTCTTTTTTGTCCAACCAACAATCCACATCCTAAAGATATTTCAGTTTACAGTGACAGAAAATACAGAAAAGCATCAAATCTTCACCTTTCAATAGCTGGATCCAGATTCACTTAAAAGAAAAAAAAAAAAATCAAAATGAATAATCAATCAAAAAACTCTGAATTGTTCTGTTCATCCACTAATCAGCTAATCAATTAATTGACTAATCGTTGCAGTTATACTGCCTCTGCTTGTCATATAAACATAAAGTACCTGTCACTCAAAACTGTACTTTATGTTCGTTCTTAGTGAAAACATGTTACATTAATCACATTTGACCCCAGTGAGAATCCACCATTAATGATACACACTCTCCCAATTAAATAATACAGACCCATGGAAGTGGCTTATACAGTCAATATAATCCATGTTTATCCAGCCAATGACTGATGTTGTTTATGTAAAACCCCTAAAAGCCCCTTGTAAATTCACCTTTGTACACCATGTACTAATGATTACAGAGACACAGGGTGGCTCCGGCTCCCTTGGCGGTGCATAGCAACAACATTATGTATAAAAGCATTTCTAAACTCCTGCATTAACCTGAGCAATCACATTGCTCATATTGATTCGGGAACTAATACATCATTGTTCAAGTGGAGCAATCTAACGTTTTCTTGATCTTTTAGTTCTGCCCTTGCGAGATAATTTGACTACAGCATGACGGTCACTATTGGCAGCAAGAAGATGTCTTGGACCTCTCTAAACTCAAAAATATATTCTGAGGCATTTACATTTCAGGGAGCGAGGACACAAACTTGCACAGAGGATTTAGGATTCTCAGAAGCTATGCTCAAGGTTACCCAGAAATCAGAGCGCTTGTTCCCGAACAACATCAATTTGACAACTCTACAAGTGTGAAATACAAATAACTGCTCCTTTTTGTGAAGCATCACGGCCTGTTTAAAGTGGTTCAACTGAATGTGAGATGAAGGAAAAAAATAAACATGGCTGTAAATTTCAGATTCTCAGTATTGCAGTGTGCTGTGCCAACATCAGTTACCCACTCAGTTTAATTTAAATGTCATGTATTCACAGTCACTTATGCCAGAAAAGAATCAACATTTTTCATGATTTGCATAAATCTTCCTGTTCTGGATGTGATCAACATATAATGTTAGTATGCCAAAAATATTGGTAGCATTTTATTCCATTTTCAAAGTAATCATGTTTAAGGAAACATTAAATAGATATATACTGTGACTTTTTATGCCATACTACACTATGACGTTTTTAACATTTTTATGCCTTACTATTCTATGACATTTTTTATGCCTTACTATACTATGACGTTTTTATGCCTTACTATACTATGACGTTTTTATGCCTTACTATACTATGACGTTTTTTGACATTTTTATGCCTTACTATACTATGACGTTTTTATGCCTTACTATACTATGAGTTTTTTGACGTTTTTTTATGCCTTACTATACTATAAGGTTTTTTTTGAACATTTTTATGCCTCTACTATACTATGACGTTTTTAATGCTTAACTATACTATGATTTTTTTGACATTTTTATGCTTACTATACTATAACGTTTTTTGACGTTTTTTATGCCTTACTATGACTTTTATGTTACTGACTTTTTTATTTTGCCTTACTATACTATGACAGTTTTTTGACATTTTATGCCTTACTATACTATGATGTTTTTTTGATTTTTTTATGCTTACTATACTATAACGTTTTTTTGACGTTTTTATGCCTTACTTATACTATGACATTTTTGACATTTTTATGCCTACTATACTATGACGTTTTTTATGCCTTATTATACTATTGACGTTTTTTTGACATTTTTTTATGTCTTACTTATCTATTACGTTTTTTGACGTTTTATGCCTTAACTAATAGCTATGAGTTT